TAAACTTTCATTCAATTCACAATACAACTTTTTTAAAGTCATAGCTAGGCAGGCTAAGGCTTAATAATGGCATCTTTCCGGCCTGCGGGGGCCCAGGCTCCTTCCGTCTTCCTATTGACCTCAACTTCACACCAGCATTTTAATCCGCAGGTTGAAGAAAGATAGCAATAAAGAATGAGTGTTACCCCTTTAAAGAGCTTCCTGGAAAATTCTGCTGGTGCTTCTACGTACATCACATAGGACAAACTTTTGAAAAATGTGCCTACAAAAGGGGTTATGAAATGAAACCTTCTATATACTAGGAACGAGCATTTGTGGCACAATGGTTAAAGCACTCAGCTGCTAACAGACAGGTTGGCAGTTATAATCCACTACAGCTCCACAGGAGAAAAGACTGGACCCTGCTACCTGAAAGATTAAAGTCTAGGAACTTCTATGGAACAGTTCAACTTTGTACTATAGGGTTATTATAAATCAGAATAAACTCCACAGCACACAACAGCAGCAACATATATGAAGGTGTTTACAAAATATTGTTTTTAATGGCAAAAATTGGGGGGGAAATAATGTCTATGAAAAAGATAAAGGATGAATAAAGTGTTATATACTCATACAGTGGAATATATCACACCGACGTCAAATATATTAACTTAAATTCAATGTGACACTATGAATAAATCTCTAAGTCATCAAGTGGACAACATAAAAACAAGTTGCACACTAGCACCATATGATACCATTTATGTTGTGCTTACAGCATGAAAAATGATGATTGTTTATGGATATATATTCAATTGTAGTAAAATCATAAAATAACTTTTTAGCATATGAGTATCAGACTTGGTAAAAATAATAGTATAAAAGTTTTGTCAATGCTTCAGTGGTTGAATCATCACCTCCAACGATTTCATCCTACAGGCTGCTTCAGTCGCTCACCTTAAGCCTTGACATCGTCTCAGAAATATGCATCCAGAGCTCTGACCTGATTCCTCTCCTGCACATTACTACAGGACCGGCACATCAACAATCTGCCCATCCGCCAGCACCTCCAACCAGCAGTTTCTACCACATTTCATCATTCCTAAATCCCTTATTGACTTCTTCCCAGCTTTAATCCATAGAAACTCCCTTCTCTGAAGCCAGTCTACATTTGTATAATTTCCTTTTCTCTATATTGGCTAAATCAGTAACACAATCAATAGAAATACTTTATAACTCGGGGGAATGTTTCATAATATTCCTTATAATAAAATGATAATGATACCTCTAAAGTGAACCAGAGCCATATAGAATCCATAGATAGAAGAATGGATTGGGGCTTTGCTTAATTCTAGCCCCAACCTAAGAACAATTAGCTCTTATGCGTTGGCCCTACTAGATACTAACCCTCACAAAGAGATCACTCAAGATATGGGTGCTCTAGCAAAGTGTGGTGAACAAACCAGATGGTGCCTACCTACCAGAAAAAAACAGCATCTGGGGTCTGAAATGTTTGTCTATAAACAAACGGCCATCTAAGTGAGGCACCAACTAAGTTCGCATGGAAGAAGACATTAGCCTGTGTGATACAAGGATTTTAAATAATATAATCCAAACCCAAAGGAGGGGATGGTATCAATCAGCACCTGGTTTTCAGAAGGCAGTGGATGACCGTGAAAGCCCAAAATCCAGTTTCAGGGTCCACACATGGATTAAGCCTCCAGTGAATTCCCTCTGAAAATAGTGGATGGGTATAGTAATAGCCTTGCTATCAGACAGAAAGCATTGTGGAGTCAATTGTGGCAGATGAGTGAGGCTAAAATGTGGTACCTTATCATTTGATTTCCCTTTTGACCCATTTAAAAGTTTGTATTTTTAATATTTTTTTCTATTGAGGTTTTTCACTCTTTTGTCTAGTGATTGTCGTTGGTTTGTTTGTGTCCTGTTTGTGCTTTATATCAGTTTCTGTCTGTGAAATCCAGAATAGATAAATCTACAGCGACAATAACTGGATTAGTAGTTACCTAGAGGAATGGCAGGGGAGGTTTGGGAGAAAATGGGAAACTAACAACAATGAGTATGAGAAGAAAATTTTCTGAAATAGATTGTGGTGATGATTTCACAACTCTTCCTAATATGATTGAATGATTAAATTGTATGATATGTGAAGTATATGCTGATATAACTTTGTTTAAAAAAATAAAGAAATTTCCTTAAATTTTCTTGCTACACTTCACTTCATAATTATTTGGAAAAATGACTATCAGTTTTCAAAATTCTAAGGTAGAAAAATATCAGACTTTATGCTTATCCAAACTATAGATCAAATGTGGAGAAAACATAAAACTATACTCATTAATGAAATGACTCCAATTTTACCACTCATTCACTCTGTGTTTAAAAACAAACTGACAAAATTGCATGAGTTATTCCAGATATGTAGAAAAGCATTTCAAAAAATTTGGCTTAATTTTTCATGGCAATTAGTTTCATTCATGAGAAATAAATAAAGGTGGAAAATAAATAATGAAGTACCATTAGCTCCTGATGACTAAAAAATCCTCCTTTGACCATCACTGCTCTATGGACATTTGAGTATATTTATTCTTTATTTAATAGTTAATATTATTTATAGGGGTACCCCCGAAAACTGGACATTTTTTTCAGAGCTACGTATTTAAATTTTTTTTTACAAAACCTTATCACCTTCAAGGTTTTCCCCATTACACTTAATACATCTGTCAAAGGCAGCTGCAATTCCAATCTTGGAAACATTTTTCAAACATCTGTTTGGATGACTGACAGCACCTCCCCCGTTTTTTTTTCTTCACCTCTTCTATGCCATAAAATTGCTGTCCTTTCATGTTCCTCTTCATTCATGGAGGAAAAAAAGTGGCACGGAGCAAGGTCAGGTGAGTAATAATGGTGCATGGAGCAAGAGAGGCGTGCTGTTTTTTGCCAAAAACTGGCACAATGAGATGGCGGCGTGAATAGATGCATTATTGTATGGCAAAACCAGTCCCATCTGCCACAAATTGGGCCTACTTTGTTGCACACTGTTACACAATCTTTTCAAACCTCTAAATAGAAAGCTCGATTAAGAGTCTGACCTGGTGGAATGAACGGCAAGCACACTATGAGTGGACATTTTTGTCCAACTGGGAAGTTGATGGATATACAGAATGAGATTTGTCATCATTTGACATTTCACCTTTTTTGAAATGAGAAAAGCGCTAGTACACTCAAATTTTTCCGTAGTGCTGTCCTAATAAACTGTTCAACATCACAACAGTTTCTGTGGCATTTTTCCTGAGCAGGAAATAAAATTTACAGCCGCACACTGTTCTCTTAAATTGGCATCACAAAAAAACGAAGCTTGAGCAAAACTACTTTTATGAAAACATTCACTGTGACCAGAGAGAACCTTCCCAGGTGACGCCACTTGGTACACTAACTCAGAACAAGTTGCTTGATGCTTGCCTAGTGGGGAAAAATGCATACTAAGAATGCTCCACTCTGACCCAGCAATTCCAGTTTGGGGGGGTACCCCTCATACTTATAATACTATAAAGTACGATTGATTAATTTAATTTTCAAGTGAACATATAGACAATGTTTTATATTCAAGAAGGGTGATATAGGTTATTTACATATGTGTATAGTTACTTTTACTGTAAATAGATTCATGAATGTGAACATACAGAGTGCAAAGTTATGAAAATTTCTGAACCTTAACTGCTCACTGTCCCGGAGAAAGATGTGTTAGTCTGCTATGGTAAATACTTCTAGCTTTGCAAATCCCATGGGGCAGTTCTGCTCTGCCCTATAGAGAAACTATGAGCAAAACCCACTTACAGCAGTGGGTTTGATTTCGTTTGGCAGTAAACTACATTGTACAAAATTTTGTTCCTTTAGATCTTTCCAACTTTTTATCATAATTGATACAAATGCAACCTCTAGTTGTAAATATAAATGTAAATTGTATGAAATATGTGCTATTTTAGAGTTTCAATAACATATAAATATTTTAAAATTTAATAATTACTTACCAAAGCAAGTCCTGTTGAATAATGATTATCACACATCTTTCCAGGAAATACTGATCCAATATAATTTGGGTATTCCCTATAACTAAATAAGAGTTTATCATTAATTTTTTTCAAAATATATAAATGTGTGAATTGTTTCTAATAGTATAAATCTGTTGTTCATAAAGTCTGGGAGTGAAGTAAATTGAGGAACTATCTTTCCATATGACCTTCATTGTTTCAAATTTGGAATTATATTCTTTTTTAAAAATCATTTTGGAATTATATTCTTAACTAAATTTCTACAACTAGATTTCTCAAACTTATTTGATGGCTTTTCTGTTTTATTCACATTTATTTTTGGTCACTGGTGCCGATGATCAAACATGTTAACCAAAAATGTTTTTCTTTGAGTTTTATTGAATGACAATAATAAATATATTTAATGTTTAGATTAAGCCTTGTCAATTCAATAGGGGGAAAAAAGCTCACCAATATTTCGTAAGGTGAAGCAAACCAACAAATTAATAACAAATGAGTACACTACCACCACAATATTTTAGAGGCAAAGATAACAGACAACTTCAGACAATACACACACAGACATGTAACTATGATAAGATTACTCAAGCAAGTAAACTAAATATAGGGCCAGAGAACCTTCAGGAGACAGAAATTGTAATGGAACTACCTGATCAAACATTCAAAGAATTATATTTAGAAGCCATCAATTGATTAAGAAAGAGATCAAGGAAAATACAGAGAAAGCCATTGAATTCATGTACAAAATCAAGGGAATCACAGGTAATTCAAGAAAGCAATACAAAAATAAATTGACAACATAGACAATTAGAAACCATACAAAACCAAAATGTATCACATGAAACAAGGATAGTCTCTTCAACAATTGATGTTGGACAAATTGGGTCTCCATATGGGTAAGAATGAACCAGGATCCATATAAATCCTCATGCACAAAAACAAACTCAAATGGATTAAAGAACTAAATGTAAACCCCAGAGCAATCAGGATCATCAATAATAAAACTGGAACACTTTTAATAGTCCTGCTGCAGGCCATACATAGACTACCAAGAAAATAAAGGAAACACACACATCAGAAGGAAAATTGGATGACAAGGACATGTGGGGGTGGGGGAGGGGGAGGAGGATTCACAATGACTAATTACCCAAATCTACAGAACTCTTCAACAGCTCAATAATAAAGTAACAAATGGCACAATTAAGAAATGGGAAAAACACATTGATAGACAGATTACAAAAAATGAAGTACAAATGACTAACAAAAACATGAAACAAATGTTTATGATCACTAGCCATCCAAGAAATGTGAATTAAAACCACAGTGAGATACCATCTTATACCCACAATGTTAGCCTAATTCAACAAAAAGGAAACGACAAATGCTGAAGAGCTTGTGGAGAGAATGGAGCTCATACACACTGTTGGTGAACTTGTAAATACAAGCAACCACTATGACAAGCAATATGGCCATACCTAAAACAACTTGGAATTGAAATCCCATATGATCCAGCAATACCACTATTGGACATTCCCCAAAGAAATAAGAGATAAAACATGAGTGCATGTATGCTCTCCCATGTTTGCTGTAGTAGTTTATAACAGCAAGACACTAGAAGCAACCCAAATTCCCAACAGTAGAAGAATGGCTAAGAAACCATGGTACATAAACACAATGGAAAACTAACATCCCTAAGAAAACAGTGATGAGAGCATGAAAGATCACATGACATGGAAGGACCTGAAAACCATTATGCTGAGTGAAGTTAGTCAATCACAAAAGGGCAAATACTGTATTAGTCCATGACTAATAGGTAGCCCAATTCCCAAACAAAGGGGTGGAGAGCTTGTCTGTTGGCTATGAATCTAATATCGTTGAAACTAATATCGTTGTATTAGTCTGGGAACTTTAGAGAAACAAATCCACAGAAACTCATGTATAAGAGAGAGTTTTATATAAAGGTTAGCTGTGCATCAAGAAAACATCGCAACCCAGTGCTACCCAAGCCCACAAGTCCAACATTAACTCATCAATCCATATGTCCAATACCAATCCACAAAGTCCTCCTCCATCTCACAAAACAGACACAATGATGCCAACTGCAGGAGGAAAGCCAAATCAGTGAATGTGTAAGCATCTCAGTG